TTTGTATGCTCTTTTACCACCACAACCACCACCACCACCACAAACTGGTACAATAATGATTGATTTTGAGAAAGCGGTCATGAATGCGATTCAGAACAGTTTGCCAGGGTGGGAGATTAGCAATTGCTACTTCCATCTCTGTCAAGCTGTTCAGAGGAACATTTCGAAGAAGTTTAAAGTTTTATATTATTCTGATAAGAAGTTTGCTAGAGCCGCAAGGCTGGTTGTGTTTCTCGCCTTTGTCCCAGTTGCTGTATCTCCAGAGGTTCCTAGTTGTCGGGGATATGTCATGATTGGTTCCTAGTTGTCGGAGTTGATTGGATTTCCCAAGCTTGCATGTTTACTAACCGAGTCAAGAATCTTCAAGTTGTTAAAAATGGGCTTTGTATGCTCTTTTACCACCACAACCACCACCACCACCACCAAGATTAGCCGTGAGCCCCAAACGGTAGATCGGCCTCCACGTGGCTTGGGGTGGGTGGTTTTTTAATGAATGAACTATAGGGTCCCAAAAAGCATAGACAGTCTAACCTAATCGTGATATCGTGATATGGTTTATCTAATGAACTCCTAAATTAGATCCAGTGTTAGCTGAATCTATAAATCCAGTGTTAGCTGAATCTATAAATTTTTTGGGACGCTATATTTCTATGTTTAAATACTAGCGAACGATGCCATATAATACAGTCAAACCTCAATTCACCGTGGTTTTGAGTAAATGAATAAAAGTGCCAAATTGGGGATTCTGTTAAATTGGGGCCTGGTTAATGGAGGTTTGATTGTATATTATACTATAATACCAACGTTATAGAACTGTACTGAACCGAATCGGTTTATGACCTTATTAATTATTTTATAATTTCTCAAATAGTGTAGTGTAGTGTAGTGTAGTGTAGTGTAGTGTAGTGTAGTGTAGTGTAGTGTAGTGTAGTGTAGTGTAGTGTAGTGTAGTGTAGTGTAGTGTAGTGTAGTGTAGTGTAGTGTAGTGTAGTGTAGTGTAGTGTAGTGTAGTGTAGTGTAGTGTAGTGTAGTGTAGTGTAGTGTAGTGTAGTGTAGTGTAGTGTAGTGTAGTGTAGTGTAGTGTAGTGTAGTGTAGTGTAGTGTAGTGTTGTGTGATACAATGTTGGCCAACAAGATAGCGTGTAATATCGAAGCTTATATATGTTCCTAGATGCCAAGCCGATATGGCCGATATAGGTACTCTTTGGGATATTCTATACATTAAATCCTTGATATACCGTGCTTGACAGGGGAAACGATAAATGTACTATTTACTTAAGTTTGCCTATGAACACGGCACACTGCACTGCATGATGAGATCATGAAAGTGGTATATCGAGGTACATATATTGTATGGCATATTCAATTGTTATATAATATATTGCTATATCCATGAATCAATTCAACCATATTGACAATTGTTAACAGTTGCAAAAGATAACCAATTACTTATAACTTAGCATGAGCGGAGAATGACTATAACCGGAAGAATACCACGTGGTGGGATGAACGACCACAACAATAACGAATAACACAGCTTATATGATCAGTCCAATATAATAACAGCAAATTTGGCCGATTTTTGAGTATTTGAGCCGTAGAATATATGGCAGATTTTTGTTTATTAACATTGCATTATCTTCTTTGCCGTGTTAATAAAGGTTTGGTTATAATCTTTTAACTTCAGGTGGAAAATAAAAGTTGCATTAAATGTAAATTAGTTGTATAAAAGTATAAATTGAACAATCGCTGTTAATAAGTGGCATGGTTAGTGTTTGAGATTCAGCTTAGTTCGAGGAATGAAATTACAGTAATAGTGCACATAATATATATCATAGAGAGGACTTTAACGGTTATATTATGGCTTTAATATTATCTTTTTTCACAGGAGTGTGGCATCCATTTAAGCCAGGAGGAAAAAGACTTGGTGACCGCACATTCGGAGCTTGAAAATACCAGCATTGGTCTTACGTTTCAATCCGAGATTGTTGAGGCATCATTGATCCAGTATTACAAAGAGGTAACCGTGCGATAACCGTGTAATCCACATTTATCGGATTTCTCTTAATTTCTTGACATATATTTTCGAGTTGTTAAATGTTGATTGTTGTATCTGTGGTCCAGGTCAATTATAAAAAATATAGTTTCAATATAATTACGTATGGTTAATGTTTTCAGGATCTTGAGATAGCAGATTTAAGACGCCATTATACCCTGGTGCGAACCGACGTCAGAAGTCGAAGACAGTAGTAGCACTTTGCAAACAGTGTTTTTTAAAAAGATTTCGAGAAGCCAGTTTTGTAATAATCAGCAAGCGGCTGTGGAACTATTTGACTATTTTAAGTATTCATTTTAATTTAAGTAATTTAAATGGTACTCTACGTTCAAATCACCGATCTAAATTGTGATTTGGTTATCTTTAACCTTTGAGTGTGTTATTAAATCTACTATTAATTAATTTAAAATTGGTACTCCTAAAAAATCAATCCACTTTTAATATATAACGCAAACTAAATTCCTTTTAGCAGGGTTGGATTTTGAAATATATGTGTAATGTTCATGGAGGGCCAAGCGTGAGTTAGATACATAATTGGTACAATTATGGAGCATCGCGGCTCTAGGCAGCTCTGTTAAAACTAGATCAAAACCGACATTACGGCACGTATTGGCCTTACACAGAGGTATAATGAGACCTGAAGTGAGGTCAATACGTGCCGTAATGTCGGTTTTGATCTAAATTTAATCCAAATTCGTATCGTTTCACTTATCCTTTCAAAGTTTCAACAGAGTTGCCTAGAGCCGTGTTGCTCCCAAATCGTACCAATTATGTTATTTTTGACATATAGTCTGCAGCGCACCCAAAATGCACGGAGAAGTGTGTTTGTTTTGATATTCTGTTAAATACTATTTATGATTTATTTTGTCCTAATAATGAAGGTGTTGTTCATTCTAATCTAAGTTTAAAGGTGCTGTTATATCAAAAGTAAAATTGGTCAAATTAAATAGAATATATTTAAAAAAATATATATATATTGCGCTGATGTACCGTTTATTCGGGTAGTGAATGAACGATAACGCTCATGAAATTTATTGGGATCATAGAGTATGGCTGATGGTAACTAGTGTTATAGTTATCTCCCGATTAGCCGTGCTTGTCGGGGAAAGGGAGATGCATGCATGGTCTAATGTGAATTTCATGCGGTAAAAAACCACTGCGTATGATAAATCGGGAGGCACGGTAAATAGGTAGCAGAGATGACTCGTGACCGCAACATTAAACATATAAGGAATTTGCCATTTATAAATGTAATTTGCACTATTATAGTGCACTGCACGGGACCCCTCAGTTTCAGTTCCTTGTTTCACAGACCGTTCAGCAAGGACATTCACTGAGTTTATCGGGTTAATAAGCACTTTCCAAAATCTATAGTGCAAAATATATTTATAGCCATATTCCCACGTGTTATATGGCAATTTCTGATGCAGAATATGTAAAAGCGGTCAATATGGAACGCGCATACGTTTTAAAATCATTAACGTGGCGCAGCACGTACGTACATATAGGTGAGCCATCTCGGCCACGCGCAAAACAAAATCATTTTCATTTTCAAATTTGAAAATGGTTTTTTTTTGCGCGTGGCCGAGATGGCTCACCTATATAAACGTACGTGCAAATCGTTTGCAAAATAAAAATCGTTTTCAAAATCAAAACCGTTTTCAAAATCAAAAACGTTTTCAAAATCAAAATCAATATCGTTTTCAAAATCAAAATAGATACCGTTTTCAAAATCAAAATCAATATCGTTTTCAAAATCAAAATCAATATCGTTTTTAAAATCAAAACCAATATCGTTTTTAAAATCAAAATCGATATCGTTTTTAAAGTCAAAATCAATATCGTTTTCAAAATGAAAATCAAAATTGAAATCAAAATCAAAATTTAAATCAAAATCAAAATCAAAATCGAAATCAAAACCGTTTTCAAAATGAGAATTGTTTTTAATTTCAATATGAAAATCGTTTTTTATTTAAATTTTAAAATAATTTTAGAAATCAAATTTAAAATCGTTTTTATTTTGTGATTAATTGTATAATTAAGTTTTAAATTACAAATTTTCAGTGAAAATTTAGGTGAGCCATCTCGGCCGCCATACACTTCTTTTACACGCAAATTCCTGGGAACGTTGCCAAAGCAGCTAATTCTTGGAATTTCTCCAACGCGTGGCGTGAGAAGTTGGCGACTAGCCAGCTACCCTTGTCCGTGCCCTAAAAATAGTATTGTTTTGCTTGCTCTCCTTCCAGCTCTTGTTCCTGCTAACGTTCAAGCTATTGCTCCACTATGACAGATCGGTTTGACATTCAGATTGATGAACTGCTTTCCAATCGTGTTCTAAAGTATAAATCCCTTGTCGAAATCGCCGGAGATAATTATAATCCATAAACACTTCACGCTCAGGGCTAAATAAATGTAATCCCTCAGCTGGCGCTTCGGGATTACATATTAACACAAAACTCGTGCGCTGCGCGCACTCGTATGTGTTTATCAGATCATCCCGCTAGCGCGGGATGATCTGTTATATAAACCCTTTGCGTGGCGGGTTTATGTTATTATGAATGTCACATTTCCATATTCATCACTTGATACTAATCCGCATTAGTTTGTACCTCTCTGAATTATTGTAGACGGACCGGGACTCAGTACCCTTATTTCAGGGGACTCCACCTTTGTGTACACACAATCATTGTCAACCGATTAGAATGTCATTATGAGCTCAGTTAATGACGGTTAAGTTGCCCTTGAATAGTTAAATACTCTCCCCAGCTGCCTGTTATCCAGCACAGTAATTACTATTAGTCAACATTGTTCATCTCCGGCGATCATACAGCCATTATATTCGGATCATTAGTTCTCCCGGTCTCTCCGCGTGTTGTGGTGTTGTACTGTTCTCGGTAATAATTAGGTGGAGCCATAGCTAGCAGGGAGAGAGGGGAGCTATTATATCATTAAATATTTGACCCAAATTCTTTGCTCCAAGGCTTTTACTATGTTTAACTCGTTGTAGGATGATTATTGTATGTTTGTGGTAAGACGGTGACCTGCTTTGATTATTACCATGGCTCGGAGACATGCAGACTGATTTGTGATGGAGGTGTCGATCCCACCAGAAAATAAGGACGAAGATAGTGGGGACGTCCCACGCTCCGAGCAGAATGGAGATGTCTCGCCGGACACTTATAAGGACAACCAGAGTGAGGACCTATCACTAGACACTAGGGGCAAGATGAGTAGTGGAGCTGTCTCCCCGGACACTAAGGGAGAGCAGAATGGAGACGATGTTGTAATCTTATCGAAAACTAACGGCAGTCATAGCGGAAACATTAATGAACAGTATAACAGTAAAGAAGTTTTAACAGCAACGGAGAGAGAGTCGAGTGGCGATGTCCCCAAAGAAAGTAAGGACGAGCCTAGTGCAGATTTCTCCACAGTCAATAAGGAACTGCGTAGAGGAGACGTCTCCACAGAAAGCAAGGTAGGGCCGAGTAAGGGTGAACCGAATGGAGACATTCCAAAAGAAATTAAGAAAGAGCTGAATGGCGACGTCTCATTAGACTCTAATGGCGAACCGAATGGAAACATTCCAAAAGAAATTAAGGAAGAGCCGAGTGGCGATGTCACCAAAGAAAGCAAAGAAGAGCCTAGTGGCGATGTCCCCACAAAAATTAAGGAAGAGCCTAGTGGCGATGTCCCCACAGAAATTAAGGAAGAGCCTAGTGGCGATGTCTTCACAGAAATTAAGGAAGAGCCTAGTGGCGATGTCACAAAAGAAAGCAAGGAAGAGCCTAGTGGCGATGTCCCCACAGAAATTAAGGAAGAGCCTAGTGGCGATGTCACCAAAGAAAGCAAAGAAGAGCATATTGGCGATGTCACCACAGAAACGAAGGGCGACGACGAGAACGGCGGGGATTATGGTGTACTTCGCCAGTATGTTTCTTATCGTACATTTCCTTTATAGTTTAAGTTTTGTTAAACAGTCAGGTCTGTTTATTCGTTGATATTATGTAACATATATAATATATCTAAACTTATCAATTTAAACTTTTCTGTTTAAAAGTTGCTATTTAAACTTTCCATTTAAACATTTCTATTTAAAGTAGCCAGTACTTAGTCCATAATAGCTTATCAGAGTACCGTTAAGATAAATTCCCATTGCGTCTGAAACAGCATATTATTCATTACCAAAAAGAAAACCAAACTCTAACATCCACCTCCATCAGGTCAGAGATAGTTTCTGCAGCAGAGGGAAAGGTGACGAAATCCAGCAAGTCGTCCTCCAGATCGTCCTCAAGACTGAGCAGTAAGGACGGGGAGAGGTCACCAAAGATGGGTCACATCGTCTGGAAACGTCCAAAGGTCAGACATCATCTCTTGATAATACGTGTTAATGATACTTCAGCAAATAGGTACAAAGCCGACCGGCTGTTAGAGAACTGATTCCGTAACAGCCGGCTAATGACTGGCTGAAATTGTATTTAGATGCTGATAGATCGTTTACTGTATCTGTATTTCCGAAACTCATCTATTTAAAGTGACTACAAGGAGACATGTTAACTTCATAATTCATGGTACCTAAACGCCTACAAACTCTCTCCGAAAATCAAAATTTATTTAGTCTGCTGGCAGGGGGTCTGCTGGCAGACTTCTAATAATTTACATACACAATATCAATAATTCCACGATTATAAGCTTATAAGTGTGATAATCGTACAATCTAGCACAGACCGGGAGATAGCTACTAAACACTCAACCACTCAGGAGTTAAATCCGCGGAGTCGTCTGCTAAGCGGAGGGAAGATGTTCCGCGGGGACCTGGTTGAAGGGGTGAGAGGGACACCCAACTTTGGGGCTGCGTGTTCAGCTCTGGCCCTCAAACATGAGCTCCTGTTTCAAGTCATGCCCGATGACCAGGTTAGTTCTTAAATTCCACTGATATTGCAAAACGTTATAAGTTAGCCATTACATCACTTTTTATGAGTTTCAACGGTGCGTAAAGCGTGTCCTCAGCTAAATTACCCGACGACAGATATCCAATTTGCTTTTTGTCACCTTGACAACCTTGACAATAGCCGGCACTATAAACTCTTCCACTACAAAATAACACCTTGTTACTGTGTTAGCCTGCACCTTTTTTAATTCACGATACACAAGATATAAACCTTACAAAAGCTAAATAATCAACAAGTGTCTCGCACCGTGGTAACTTACTTGGTAACCATGATAACAGCTGTAACTATAGTTACCTAATAACCATGGTAACAGTAATATTCTTTTGCAGTGTCCGATAGCATTTGAAGACGATTGGGGGATTTATAAGTTTAGGTTCTGGAGGTACGGTAACTGGACAGAAGTAACGATAGACGACAAGTTGCCTAGTGTGGCTGGAGAGTTGCTTTACTCTCATACTTTAGAGAACGATGAACACTGGATGTGTGTGATGGAGAAAGCTTATGCTAAGTAAGATGATTGTAAATTCTTTTCAGCTTAGGCTGTTTTCCCCTTCAATTTTTTGAATCGGGTCTTCTTTAGACTTGCAAAGTGCTGCAAATAAGTTTCAATCATTATACATCATACAACATACATCATGTTGTATTTTTACTTTCCGTGCACTGCCAACAACTTTTTGATAATTAACTACCCTCCAGATTTAACGGTTGTTACGATATAATAAACAAAATCCCCTTATCTGACATGTTACAACACATGACAGGGGGTATAACTGAGACCCTGACTTTAAGAACAGTGGGTAGCTCGGAACAACTGGGCTGTTATGTGGAGAACTGTTTTAAGAAGAGGGCTCTCATACTTACTACTGCTCTGAAGGTTTGTTAGGAGATGTTATGTGTTAGGAGATGTTAATGATTTCCAATCTACCTTACAAGACATATTTATGGCGACCTAATTTGCGACGACCGAAATTTTGGCGGTCCGAAAATATGGCGAAATTGAACAAAAACCGTCAAATTTCGGACGTCACAGAAAATAAGGGTATTTTTCATCATTTTTTGTGACAGTAAGCAGTAAGGAAATTTCTGAAATTCGGTAAAATCATGTTCAAACTTATCATGTTAGCACATACATGTATTTTAATGCAAATTTAAACTGTATTGCTTGACATTCAATTCGTCATTGGTGTGGTGATAATTTGTCCCAAGATGCCAGAATTTATTTATTTATTTTACTTGATATTACTTTTTGGAAACAAAATAAAGCAGTGAAGGCACAGTCATTGAAATAAGCTAAAAGATAATGCGACGGATTCTATTACGACGACCGAAATTTTGGCGGTCCGAAAATATGGGGAAATTTTCGGAAAACCGCCACATTTCGTACGTTATAAATATGTCTTGTAAGGTATTAACCTTAAGCTCTGATAGTTACTACTGCTCTGAATGCCTGAGGATGGGTAAAATATTATTATCAATAATATTCTCGTGCAGTTTGAAATTGCAATTTTGTTGTGATCTTCGTAATAATAACTTAATAATATAAAGATCGGTTGACAACCGACGGTCGTAATACATGCATATATGACAAGTAAACATTTGCGTGAAGCAAAGATTAATATAGGTCTTTAAATTCTAAACAAGACAAGTTTACGAGGGACAGTTAGGCTAGAAATCAATTTTCTACAGAATCAATATTGTTACAAACCAACAGGCTGAGTCGTACGACTTACTGACTTAGGACTTTTTCATATTTATCACACTCATTTTATGAACAAGCCCAACATTCATTTTGATCACCCTGTATATATAACTAAATGACAACTTTATTCAGAGCAAGGAAGGTATGATGCTAGGACTGGACAGCGAGCTACCGTACATTGTTACACGGGTTAAACGGAGAACCAGAGTGCACCCTTGTTTAGTTTGTCTTTACAGTCCTTTCGGGGCTAGTGGTTGGGCTGGACCTTGGGGACGAGAGTAAGTTTTTAAATTTGGTATAGAATATATGAATGTATGATTATCTAAATATTTAAATATTTAAGTATTTAAATATTTATATATTTAAATGTTTAGATATTTATATATGCATGTATTTGGTATAGAAAATATAAATATCGAAATATTTGACATATGTCTATTGTTATTGTCTATTAGTCTAATACAGAATATGTTACTTAATTATTAGGTAAATTTGAGTATTTATATGTACACGTTTAATTTAAAATATATAACAATTATTCAGTAAGTTTAGATATTAGGCATAATATGTTCTGGTCGACTGTTAGAAATAGTCCTGCTTATCAGTTGAGTATTTTCTAAGAAACTAAAACAAAGCAACTCATTTAGTCATTAGTATTTATTAGACATAGAATATAAATATATTCAAACATTTGTTATCAATCACATACAGCAGCTCAACTCGAACTTAATTTTGTTTAATAATAATAAAAGTTGCCAACAATTAAACCTTTGTCCTTAACACTTTAACAAACTTTCTCATCCTCAACCCAATAAAATAAATGACAGTTTCCCAGCCAATAATATAAATGACACTTTCCCACCCAATAAAATAAATGACACTTTCCCACCCAATAATATAAATGACAGTTTCCCACCCAATAAAGTAAATGACACTTTCCCACCCAATAGAATAAATTACACTTTCTCACTCTCGGATAAGTGACACAAATTTGTTTCAGCTCGCCAGAGTGGCGGAACTTTTCCCACGACGATGTTTACAACTTTGGACTGATGAACGAGTCTGATTTTGATTTTTGGATCTCAGTGGAGGATCTGGTGGAATTTTTTGAAACTGTTTTCATTGCTCACCAGTCTTCTGATACTATGGCAGGTAAATAATGTGGCTATATATCTATTAATAGACGTAGATTTTGGTGGGGAGGGAGGTGAGGCATACTTGTTTTTACTATGCTGCACAGAATCCACACAATATATATTATATATCAATATAGTCATAGATTATAATAATCATAATACTACATAATAAATACTACATGAAACGTCTATATTAATTAAGTAAAAGAAGTTAAAAAGTGATGTTGGATATTCATTACAATGTGTTATTGAAGTGTTAGGTTTTAATTTATAGGTGTGGAAAACAGGTGTTTACTTTTAAAGCGGACATTCAGGAATAGTTAGCATCTATAAAAGTCAGCGACTCCTTCACAATATTTGTCGTTGTCACCAAATAACTAGCGGTTTGCAAGTGCATAATGCGCGTCATTACAGGACCTTTAAATGTCTTCCAGGTATAGTCCAGCAACTGGATCCGAGTATTGTCAGCTTGGTACGTAGCGGGGTGTTTGGAAACTGGATAAAAGACAAAACTGACGGCGGAGCACCAAATAACGTGAGTTTCTCTTTAACTGCTGCATAATTGGTAATCCAAAAAAGTCTCAAAGTCCAAAGATAATTGTACATCACTACTATAGTATAGGTGTTTAACCGTAGTATAGGTGTTTAACCGTTATCTTCAATTCGTTAGAAGCCCCGAAACGGATCTCTGTGGAACAAATTATAAACTTACCATAATCCCTATTAAAGTATTAATGTTTAAAAATAAAACCATCTCCGTGATTTAGCTTATGACAAGAAATATTGGCAGAAATTACAGTGAAGTTAGTTTTGATATTTAGTTATTTGTTTTAGGGAAAGATTTAGGGAAAGATTAGACTTGGGCGTTGTTTTTAACTATCCCAATTGTTTAGAACTTTTATCTAATAATAAATAAAACCGCGAAATTCCAGGCAAAGTTCCTGACGCACAACATCCAGTTTCTGGTAACACAACAGAGTATTGATGATAAGATGTGTGTGTTATCTCTAGTACAGAGGTTCAGACCTAGGAACACCCCTCATGAGGGGTTTATGTGTATAGGATTCTCTGTCTTCAAGGTACTTGTACTTCTATTAGGGGCCATCTACTTAGGACGTCCGCCAAAATCGCAGATTTTCAGACCACCCCCTCCCCCTGTCCGGGTGTGTCCGAATTTTCAAAACCACCCCCCCCCCAGACATCCGGATTTCAGCTACTTTTTGCCAGACGTCCTAAGTAGATGGCCCCTTATAGAACTTAAATCATCTATGTTTACTCCCATACACTATTTAATCTTAGGAGGCAATATATATAAGGTCACTAGTTTTCCGTATTGTATACTAATAGGCACTGATTTTTTTCGTCAGAATTGTGTGATGTAGTCTTCAAGGTACCATGTTATCTATAACATTAGATTCCTTAGAAGGAATTCGTATTTTTATTCGAAGTCATAGTAGTTTTCTTTGTCATAAAGTAGAGGGTACCGCTTTTGATTAAATTCTTTTAATATCCTATTCTGTTCACCAGCATTACGTGATGACTTATGTTATGAAAACATAGATATATAGTGTGTAATAATGGCAGCCTCTCCTCAAATATAGAGTACTAGAAACCCGCTAGTCGAAAGCTTTGTTCGAGGAAATTTTAAAAATCAGTTATGTTTTAATTTCTCTTCATCATACAGCTCTGTTATACAGTAGACTTAATGGAATTTATTTAACAATGGCGACAGCGTTGTTAGTATTCGGATTCCCAAAACGATACTTTTTACCGCATCAAAAAATACCAGTCACAACCAAAGTTATGAATATAAGTCATAGCGTGAGCGTAAATGTGAGCTAGTTTTGAAGTTATGACGTAGCATACAGCATAACAACGCGCGTAGTTAAGAAGTTCTTGCTCGCGCACGTGCATTTTTATCGTTGCTACGCAACAGCGCAGTAAACATTTGCTAAAATAACGCCATTATTCTAACGATTATTTAACCTCACTTCCGACGTTAATTATAAAAAATCTAAAGCCTAAATCAAAATTCTAAGAATGCTATAGCCTATTCCTATCCTTTTTCTACAACCCTGCTAAAAATGGCGAGGTTTCAACTCCATTTGCGAGCTGGGTTTGGCTTCACCAGAGGGTCATTTTGAGGTCGATTTTCGGTGTTTTTTCTTCTATGTCCCCGTTGCCGGGGAAATTTCGTCAAGTTTAAAATATAGTATAGATGTAATAATTGCAGCCTCTCCTCTCGAATATAGAATATGTAATAATTGCAGCTTCTCCCTCAAATATAGAGTATGTTATAATGTCAGCCTCTCCTAAAATATAGAGTATGTAATAATGGCAGCCTCTCCTCAAATATAGAGTAATATGTAATAATGGCAGCCTCTCCTCAAATATAGAGTATGTAATAAAGTAATAATGGCAGCCTCTCCTCAAATATAAAATATGTAATAATGGCAGCCTCTCCTCAAATATAGAGTATGTAATAATGGCAGCCTCTCCTCAAATATAGAGTATGTAATAATGGCAGCCTCTCCTCAAATATAGAGTTTGTAATAATGGCAGCCTCTCCTCAGGCCCCTGAGAACATACAATACCGAATGACAGATTTAAAAGAAGCGCCAGTAGCCATAGCAACCTACTCCTACAAAGAAAGTGTATCAGTGAGGGTGGACCTGGAACCAGGCAACTACGTTGTCATACCAACGTCCTATCAAGCAGGGGTTGTTGGGGAGTACCTTTTGAGATGTGTTAGTCCTAGGAACCTCAACATAAGGTTAGCTATTAACTTGTTAACGTGATACTAGAGTACCATTAGTTTAATTGCAATATCGAGCTAATTGAAATATTACCAAGGAATAATAGCACTAATAGTAGACAAAGGAGCCCAGTTGTCTATTTAATCCTTCACCCCCAGAGCGTTAAAGCAAGCGCCACCCTCCGTTACAAAGAAGCAGGTTATTGATGTTGAGCTGTTGTGCGGTGAGAACCTCCCCGACGTAACCCACAGCTACGATGGTGAGCTCTTTTCTTTTATACGATACTGTTTGTGCCCTGCAGTTCCTTCTGTGGTAAACATTGGTTTTATTGTTTATGATAATATTTTAGTCGCTGATGAATTGATTTTCTATCATTTGCTCCATAGTCCATTATGCTACATAGAAAGCAGTCATTGTACAGACACAGTATATTTTAGAATGAGGACGGATACACCACAATTATATTTATAGATTAGTGTAACTGTAATATTCTAGAACATATTTCCACATTGAAACATTGTCGCATTTTATGTCCTTTGTCACAAAAACGTGATTATCCGAAATTTCGAAAATTAAACATTCTGAGACATACAAATAGCTAAATAGATAAAAAGATTAATGACCATCCTTACAGCGGACCCTGAACAAGAGGTATACTGCGTGATATGGTGCGGAAAGGACAAATGCCAGTTTCCCATAAAGCGAGGTCCTAACCCGCTGTGGAACAGTATCGCTACCTTCCACGCTAAGAGCCCCTACAAAAGGACCATCTTTGTTCAGGTGCGAGCTAAATCAGTCTTCAGCTGTTGAACTTCAAGATTTGTTATAAAAGCAGTCGCGTGATAGTCGAGTGTAGAGCTAAATCAGTCTACAGCTGTTGAACTTCAAGATTTGTTATAAAAGCAGTCATGTGATAGTCGAGTTTAGAGCCAAATCAGTCTACAGCTGTTGAACTTCAAGATTTGTTATAAAAGCAGTCACGTGATAGTCGAGTTTAGAGCCAAATCACTCTACAGTTGAACTTCAAGATTTGTTATAAAAGCAGTCACGTGATAGTCGAGTTTAGAGCCAAATCACTCTACAGTTGAACTTCAAGATTTGTTATAAAGTTATATAAGGGCTTCCGACAGTTGAAACCAGCTTGAATGGACGCAAGTAAGTCACGTGATAGTTGAGTGAATAATTATCTTTGTCCAGGTGTGGTATAAACCAGCTCCAGGATCCAGTGCTAAGGAGGACGTTTGTCTCGCAGAGACCTGCCAGCTCCCTATCATCACTGGAGATCATAAGGTAAGATAACGAGATATCGGGTGTAATTCTGAGATTTGTCCCTGGCATCGTTCAGATTACACCCTTTCCTCATTTTTGTGTGTTTTGGTTAGTTTACAAGGATTTGACTAGGGGCAAATTCAAACTAACAACATTGTAGAGCTGTAGGCTTGTTTGGTGATTTTATAATATTTCCAAGATTTTAAAAACCTATTGACCTATTAGGAGCTGAAGATCTGATCATATTTTCGTGAATAACACAAACTCGCTCAGGTCGTTTGTCAACTAACATTATCCAAGAAGACATCAGCCAACAAAACCCCCGTTGCCATACCCAAATCAAGTAAAAAAGGTGGATCCAGATGTGCAGGTTCCATCACCCTCATAGTCCGGTACAACCCTCTTCCCACAGTATTCCGGGGTATCCCAAAGGGCGGTAGTAACGTCCAAGTTGTATCCATGGATAGAGGACGAGAACGTGTAATGGACACCTCAGAATCTGAAAACAGTTCAAATAGAGACAGAAAGTGCAGGACTGAACCGCGAGGTGGGGTGGCGTTGTTGAACCATGTTGCGCTATCAAACCAAGGTTCCATATCTTCTTTAGTTAGATCTGGAACCAACAGTCCACACCGACCTTCAGTTGGAAGCAACTACAATGCTGACCAGATCATCCTTCCCCCCTACTGCTGCTCTGAACCGAGAGCAGCTGAACAGGGCCTCCCCCGCACGAAGGTCCAGGTCTCGTCACCCTACAGACGAGGACGCCATCATTCAGGCTAACAGATCCAAGTCAATGCACTCTCGGCCTCAGAACGGAGGGCCGGTTCCTGTTCCGGGGGGTTCAAATTCTCTGGATGATTTGTTCGATGATGATAGACCTGTGAAACTGATGGTTAACTGTGATAAGACTCTTTCCCCGGAGCAGCCCTTGCGAGGGCTTGCCTCCGATCATTCTCTGAGAGCAGGAACTATACTCCCTCCTTATCAGTACCCCACTCCGATCCCTGAGCCTAATTGCAGTAATGTGAACTTTATTGGAAACGGCGATCACGTGGATGGTAAAACCAATGGATCGATTCTCAGAACTGTTGCTCCAACTCCAAGGTGAAATTGATTGAAGATTTGAACGTTGTTTTTCTTAAATATGCGATCCTTTTTCTGACAAGTTTGATAAATTTTACTCACGACAGATCACCATGAGTGTACGATTTGTAAAAAGTTGTTGCTCGACACTTCTGATGATGATGAACCCCTTTTCGTTTTTGATTGTTGGCTCTTTATTTCGTTTTTATTCTATGTTGTTTGTTTGATTTTTGCTATTGAAATTTTCCTTGAATTCAAGCCATAGTGTTTTGATTATTGTACCAGTAGCAGAAACGAAAGAGACAAATTTATTCAATGCTTGAAAATGTTTTATAACCCAATTATAGTATCCCACAAATAATTTAGTCAAAATCCTCAGGTACCTTAAAGTACCTTATAAGCTTATAGTACCATCGCAGGTACATAAGTTTTTTACTCATAATGAATGAGCACAATCAAAATTACAATTACAATAAAAACATACGAAACAAGAACTAGTGATACAGAACACCCATTTGGTCCTTAAACCAATCTACTTTGCTACAGCTTTTCCTTCCTCACCAAGGTAACCAGCAACTCTCCCAGAGACTCACAAGTCACCACATCCTTAATCTGTTTTATTGATGCTCTGTTTCCCGTAGATCTCGTTAATTTGCTTGGTTACCCTCACAAAGGTGGTTCTCTTAGGGAGCTCCTTCAGTTTCACTGCTCCAACATACGTACAGCAGGATCTTACTCCTCCCAGAATGTCTTGTATCGTTACTTCTATTGAACCCCTGCGGAGAATATTTATAGCTTTATAGTGGCATTTGAGGTGAACTACCAAACCGGTATTCACACTTATATTTTCATTCACTGAATATTGTAGGGAGCATAAAATACCCTGAGTTACTTTCTATTATGATTTATATAAAATTTAATGAAGAAGGAGAATAATTTACTTGTAAGGTATAAGAACAGTTTTCCCCTCGCTGGTTCTGTAGGTGGCTACTCCTCCCGAGTGCTTTTCCATTGCTGTAGCTGAACTCATTCCGTAGAATTTAACAAATTTCTGGCCTGTGGAGATGTTATGCTTTTATGATCAATAATTTAGCTCTCTTTGTCAGAAATTAGTGAACTTTTTGATAATTTGAAGCTAAATCTAACCAAACCTTTAATTGATTGAACCCATTCAAATCTAGATCAAAAATCAGGAGCTCCCGCAATCAGACAAGCGAATGAGTTTCAAAAAGTTTCAATTAAATCTTTACAACATGGGCAAAATAGTTTCGCTCGTCATCAGTACCTAGTAAAAATAAGATTAGTACTCATCTTGAAGCTACACACTTAATAAAAATGATTTACTGATGAACTACTCACCATCTTTTTCGATGATCTCCCCCGACCCTTCGTCGTGCCCAGCAAACATTCCTCCCAACATGACAAAATCAGCTCCAGCTCCAAACGCCTTTGCAACGTCTCCTGTTGTCATACACACATGGTTTATGATGATTATTAGATAAAAGGTTTCGCTACTCGTTATACTGTTATACAGCTATGGTAATGGTCAAATTTATCGGCTTTAATTGAAGAACTGCCCTGGCCCTTATTTTGGACACCGTGGCAGGGACCTGAACAGGAACACAATTAGTATAAATGGTTTGCCTCTCCGGATTGCATTGAAGAAATATTGTCCTGATCATTATGGACACCCTGGCCCGTGTTCCATAGCTTCATATCAGGGAGTGAATCTTCCTCACTTTTAAATAAGAATGAAACTAACCTGGGCAGGTGCACCCCCCATCAGCTACAATGTGTCCTCCTAGACCGTGAGCAGCATCAGCACACTCCAACACTGCACTAAGTTGGGGGTACCCTACTCCTGTCTTCTTCCTGGTGGTTTAGAATAGTTACTGTAAACAGCGATGTACCGCGGCCATTTCCTTCCCTCAAAGAAGGCTTAATTTATGCATATTGTAAACAGACAAATCCACGGACCCAGATTGACCGCGGATGTTTCCTTTCCCCAAACTTCACGGTAAATCGGTGTTTACTGTACATGGTTGGATAGTCAAAATACTTGTCCGTATCTTTCTTTCAAATGATATATAACTTTTCCAGAAAGTGTAAAAAAGTAAAACTGAATGCTGGACGATGGAGATGAATCCTCGCTGAGAAAAAGTACAGCGTAGATAAGTGTAGAAAAACCTGGTGGTACAGACTGATCCCGGACCTGTACCAACTTTAACAATATCTGCTTATTGTAACTGTAGTCATGGTGATAAGGCGACAGAGCAGTAAGTAACTGTTGTCATGGTGATAAGGTGACAGAGCAGTAAGTAACTGTTGTCATGGTGATAAGGTGACAGAGCAGTAAGTAACTGTTGTCATGGTGATAAGGTGACAGAGCAGTAAGTAACTGTTGTCATGGTGATAAGGTGACAGAGCAGTAAGTAACTGTTGTCATGGTGATAAGGTGACAGAGCAGTAAGTAACTGTTGTCATGGTGATAAGTGTAGACAAACCTGGTGGTACAGACTGATCCCGGACCTGTACCAACTTTAACAATATCTGCTTATTGTAACTGTAGTCATGGTGATAAGGTGACAGAGCAGTAAGTAACTGTTGTCATGGCGATAAGGTGACAGAGCAGTAAGTAACTGTTGTCATGGTGATAAGTGTAGACAAACCTGGTGGTACAGACTGATCCCGGGCCAATACCAACTTTAACAATATCTGCTCCAGCCAAGATCAGTTCTTCAACCATTTCACCTGTCACTACGTTACCTGTTGGCAAAGTATCTTAAGGTTATTATATCTTTGTAGTATAGTTGTACAGCAATACTAAGGTAATGGGACTACTGCGGACCCTCTACCTGCCAAACCTTGTTAACAATTAACATATTGTTATAATATCTTTATATTGAACTTTACTCTCCTTCTTCTTTGCTAGAACAGATTTACCAGTTCTGTATTATCAAATAACTGAGTCATGCTACCATGGAACAGATAGGGTACTATTTAAAGTTTGGAATATAATTCACTCATGGTTCCCCAAATGTCACACATTACCTGCTATGATAGTCTTGCTGGGGTAAGTGTCCCTAACTTTCTTAATGTCACACATTACCTTCTATGATTATAGTCTTGCTGGGGTAAGTGTCCCTAACTTTCTTAATGTCACACATTACCTGCTATGATAGTCTTGCTGGGGTAAGTGTCCCTAACTTTCTTAACAAACGCCACAAAGTGCTCCGAGTACCCGTTAGCTACGTCCAGACAGATGAAGTTTACTGGCACTTGAGAAATGATGTCTTTAAGTTTATCTAGGTCCCTTTCAGATGAGCCCGAACTCACTGCTACGTGCTGAATGATTGTATAAGAGTATAAGTCAATTTGCTTCTTCATAAATATTTTTATCATTTCTAAAAATCCCAAAATTCTTTTTCAGTTAAACGACAATCATCATGTATATCATATAATTATACATGCAGTATACACGTATTTTAAATCGCTTTCTCGTAATCCAATTATGTTTCAAAATATTCATTAAATTACATAATATATAACGAAGCTTGTATGAAACTTAGATCATAATTAGAAATGGAACCATTTGATGTGGTCTGCAGTTTCAAATGTAGGAAGATTAGCTCTTTTGAGCAATGAGCATGGCATGCAATCCAAATATATATAATTTTCATTTATCGGTACAAATTTTTATGAATAACATTTATAAATGTTATTCAAATGAATTTTTTGAATACATTTTATTAGAATAAAAGTTATAAAATGTATAAAGGTTTCACTGTATCCTAATATAATTAAATGGTATCAGTAGAAATATTCACTCAGGGGGGGTCCCCTCACTCAGCCCTCACCTCGATACTCTGCGGGTTATTTGCAGCGAATTCCACCCACTGCTGCACAGTGTAATGCTTGTGAATACACACGAACATCTGGCACGCGGCAAATGCACGTGCCATCTCGAATGTACCTGTTGTGTCCATGTTTGCAGCCATTACAGGTACACCACGGTATTTTAGACCGGAGTTACGGAATCTAAGAGGGTTGGGTAAAAGTATTAGGTATAATATTATGTTTACCGACAGTACTTTTGTTGGATTTTGTTCGACAATTTGAGTTTTTTGTGGTTTTAAGTTGGCACGTCCTTCGTTAACATAATATTCGAAATCGGTATTATTAATATTATCAATAACCGACCACATACAAATAAATATCATGTCACTGCTTTTACTGTACAGTTTGTAACTTACAAAAAGCACATACCTGATCTCCCTTTCCAAGGTAACATCAGATCTAGAAGCCAGTGTGCTTCTTTTGGGGCGGAACAGCACGTCTTCATACCCCAGCTTTATTTCAAATTCTATTCTTGGCATCTAGAGATGGTAGCATATTGTGTTACTATGGTAACATGTTTGTTACCATGGTAACACGTTACAGGATGTTCAAAGAAAGTTGAAACAATAAGTTTTATTTAACACTTTAATACTACTACTACTCAGTACTACTACTACTGCTATACGGAATGTCCAGGGCCAGTTTCTCTATGATCTTTGAAAATTGCTACAGTAGTCAATGCATATTGTGTTACTATGGCAACATGTTTGTTAGGCAATCCTGAGAGGCAGGAACGAGTCACAACTCAATTGGCTGACAATAGCCCATTTACAAACCACTTCTTTACATCTAGAGATCGGAGAATATTGCAAAATGGTGTGAATGTCTTATTGAAGCCACACTATGTTATGGAGCATTATACCATGTTCCTTTTCCGCAATCTCCTTTTCCTTTCAGTGTGACTATATAACCGCAATCTCCTTTTCCTTCCAGTGTGACTATATAACCGCAATCTCCTTTTCCTTCCAGTGTGACTATATAGCCGCAATCTCCTTTTCCTTCCAGTGTGACTATATAGCCGCAATCTCCTTTTCCTTCCAGTGTGACTATATAGCCGCGATCTCCTTTTCCTTCCAGTGTGACTATATAGCCGCAATCTCCTTTAACTTCCAGTGTGACTATATAGCCGCAATCTCCTTTTCCTTCCAGTGTGACTATATAGCCGCAATCTCCTTTTCCTTCCAGTGTAACTATATAGCCGCTATCTCCTTTTCCTTCCAGTGTGACTATATAGCCGCAATCTCCTTTTCCTTCCAGTGTGACTATATAGCCGCAATCTCCTTTTCCTTCCAGTGTGACTATATATCTCTAAGAGCTCTTTCATGATCGCTTTTGCTTCGTATTAAACGGATTAAACGATTCAAAAGTCAAATTACATGGTAATGTCTGACCCATGTCTCTACCCATGTCTCTACCCATGTAGAGAGATGTCTTGTTGCTAGATAAGTTACTCAATCTTGTTTCATAGTAACACGTGTAACACAATGTTTTCAATTTGAACTGTGAATGTCAATTAGTTACTATGGTTACTATACTGGAATTTGTCATAGAAACTTATTGAAGCCACACTATGGAGAAATAAGTGTGGATTTAGCTGTATGTACTTAGTACTATGGAGTATGGAGTTGTATGCAACTATATATAGTTAAACGTTTCTCGTATTTATGTATTGTTAAGATGACAAGATTCAATTAAAATGATGCCCCATTTATATAGTTATATATTCCTTATGGAGTTATGGGACAAAAAAATAAACTACATTATTCTGGACAAATCTAATACAAAGTCTTCTTTCAATTCCTCGTTTTACTTACCGGGCTTTTTCGGAAATACAGAGTAGGTTGTGTATATCCGGATGGTATCAGGTAAAATTGCGGAACTTTTCTAGTTTTCGGACAATAATATGGCAGTTTTAACTCTGCAAACCGCATATTTTATGGTTTGTTTTGTCCCAAAACTTTATTCGTCAATTTCAGTCACATTTTGACCCAAACGAAAGCAAAATTCAACAAAAAAAAGTAATTTTATTTGACCAACAAATGAGCTATTTACCATAGCTATAATTTTAAAATCTAAATCACGAGTAATTCCATGATCTGAAGCTGACCACGGTCACAAAATAATAGAATTAATCTCATTGTTCATGACCAGCGAACGTATTAATATTATTTCATACCATCCACCAAGCCTACTATTATCTAATCTTTCAATTTCAAATATCGATAAACAAAACATGTTAACATAATCTGACTGTACAAACGTCCTGAGCATAATTATTGATAAGAACAAATCTAGCTTTACAAACTTATCAAACAAAAGCATCATGCTAGTAAAATTGTTGAAAAACAAACATCAAGCAATCAAACGTCAATCACGTGACACGTAATGTGACGTGTAACTAAAATAAGAACATTGCACTGCAGTACTAGACATTGACAACACCGGAATATTTGCCAACAACAACACGGTTTGTGTTTTATGGAACTCTCCCGAAAGTGGGGAAGACATACAAAAGTGGGTGTACATCACCTTTCATCACAAACACACCTACACAGCAAAGAAAAACGGGTGGTATGTACAATTATGTGCTACAAAAGTTGTTAAATTGGATTTAAGCAATGAAACGGCATCAAGTAGGTGATATCTTCGTATATAAAATTACATCTCTAGCCTACAAAAATAATTCTTACAAATGATAGAAAATTTAACATTATTATGAAAATCACAACCTGAGCAACCTAAAAAAAAAGATCGAAGGTGGAAGCCAGACAAAAGGTGGGAATGAAAAAGCTGTACGCAGTTTTTAGACCTACCCGGGTCTACTGTTATATATATACTTATATATAAGGACGCAATGAAACTATATATCAGATCAGTTATATCAGATCAAATCAGATCAGATCATCAGATCAAATAATTATGTGCTACAATTGAGTTGGCCGGTATGAACTTTTATTCAATATTATTCCCTTATGGTAAGTGCATGTGACCAAGTACATGTGACCTGGAAACTATAATTACCCTGTAAACACAAGCAAATAAGCTAAACCTACAACAAGTTATAAACACAAGCAAACAAGCTAAACCTACAACAAGCTATAAACACAAGCAAAGAAGCTAAACCTACAACAACCTGCCCTGTAAACACAAGCAAAGAAGCTAAACCTACAACAAGCGGCCCTGTAAACACAAGCAAAGAAGCTAAACCTACAACAAGCGGCCCTGTAAACACAAGCAAAGAAGCTAAACCTACAACAAGCGGCCCTGTAAACACAAGCAAAGAAGCTAAACTTACAACAACCGGCCATGTAACCATGGTAACAACAAGCGGCCCTGAAACCCTCTTCAGAAGAGGTTTGTAAGGATTCAGTGTCTATTATAAGGAGCTGAGAACATCCGCTACAATTAAACAACATAATATTATGTAGGTTGACTTGTTAATTTGTTAACACTTCAATGTAATTGTCATTCTTGTAGTAGTATTGTAGGAGTATTGTAGGACTGTAGGAGTATTGTAGGAGCATATTTTGCGAGAATAAAAATGTGTTCAACATTGAAAATGAAATGTTCATAAGCGAAACTGGAAATAAAGAACCACTGGCTCCACAAACTGAGCATAATTATAGCGATCACAATATTCAAGAAAAATGTGCTATATTTAGATTACTAGAACTTGAGAGTAAAAGCCAGCAACCATAAAGTACACCTGTCATATACTTCTGAGGTGTCATTTTGAAATACTACGAACCCCATGCTATTAAACATATCGCAAAGTTTCATATCATGTTACAAAATGAGCAAATGAACTTGGGTAATAAAAGCTTCAATAAAGTCGGCCCTATAACAAACTATATGTATGAAGGTGTTGCAAAGTTACCTTCTTGTCGAGCTGCGCGGTGCTGCAATAAAATTAGTCCTTCAGAAATCTATCAGCAGTATGTGCAGTACTGTTGTTGACAGAGTGTTCTACACTCTACTACTATCTCACTATTACCTTATTTGAGCAAAACCCATAATTGGGTAGAGTGGACCGCTGCCAGTGCCAGTGTCTCTCTTTCCCAAACAAAAGGAAATGATATTAATTTGAATAACCGTCCGTAAATGCAAAATGATACCGAGAATGAAATCGGTCGCTCGCTTTCCCCATTTATTCACGGCTTACGAAGTTGCAGACAGAGTTTTCTACACCATTTTATAACTATAACGGTGAATTTACAGTACTTTCCAGTACACAGTGCAACAAACAGAACAACAAACAGAACAACAAGCAATATACTTAGCTAACTGGGGGGCCAATACAGCAATACCAATATATTCTCACTGTCAGCTGTCACACGTTTTTATTGGGGCTGAAGCTCAGCACGTGAGCCGTATAAAACTGAGAACATCTTGTGAAATACCACACAATGACATCACTAGTAATATACCGGACACCTTTATTACATTAGATAGGTAGAGTATTAGTGAAGTGTGAGGTCGGCGTTATATGTTGTTTAAAAGCGGCGAGGCAAAGTTGCTTCAGTATGGCTGTATAAACCTATACACTTATACAATAGACTGGTATTAGATATATAAACCAAGTTAGACTGATACTGATAAGGTGTTAAAGGGAATAGCAGTATCTAACTAGTAACTACCATTACATAACTATATCGATAGTTCATTGCAGCTGAAAAGCAACAGGCTAAAAATAATCACACCGTCCAAAATCCAGCACACTTTCGTTAGCGTTCAAATCAAAAGAAACGTACCGATTATCAATTATCGATCATTATCAACACTTACATTTTGTTATCATTGAGACTAATCGACCGGTCATAGTTAAGTCAAACAAATGCACAACATGTATTATTACTACAACACTATGTCTAGGTATAACTATATACAGGGGATATAACCAGTAAACATGCACACAGGGGGTTATTACTGGTAATTAATGCAGGTAGATAATACTGGTTTTTATTGGTAATTAATTAGTCTACACTCTACTGAGCTACCACAATAACTGCTAATCAATCTACTCTACAATTACAAATAATTCTCTGCAAAAATAAGCCTGTGCAGTATGCATAGCGTATGTCACCTGTTTTAAGCGCAACCACGCGACGGAGGAGCAACTGAAACATATTTTTCACAATTAGATAATGTGTTATCTCAGAATATAAAGTCAAGTCTTATCAAGCAGACACCGGAGCTTTTTCCTGTCTTATTTTGTTAATGGTTATCAGAGATAAAAACTTACTCCCACTTAAATCGCTCGCCCAAATTTATTAAAAATCTTGTGAAAAGGCTCTGAGGGTATGAACGTGATTTCGTTCGATGTATTTTTGGACGCTGATTCCGAATAACCCCCATGACGTAGGGTAAATTACATGCTTCGCTGAGTAGAGCCATAAGAACTAGTGAAACACAGCGAAACAAATACAACAAATTGTCCCATGGCAAAATGAGAAATGCTCATTATGTCATAATATAACGG